ATAACATAAATGGCTATTTACTCAACAATAAAGAGGGAAAATTGAGGAGGGTAGTTAATTTTCTGTTACAAAAACAGAAAAAGGGAAATTGGAAACGGTTGGATTTTAATATTAATATTCTTGGATTTAATATTAATATTTTATTTTTAAAACGGATATTTAATAATATTTCTGTTAATATTTACTATTAACAAACAAATTTGGTCCAAAAAATTAATCAACCGAAGCCGAGCCGAGCGACGACGACGGCGCGAGGCTTGCCTTCTTCTCAACTCTTTAAGAGCTAGAAGAAGAGCAATTGCTTATATAACCATTAAAAACATCTTCCTCTTCCAATATGGGACAATGTCCCATTGTCAAGGGGGCGAAACTTAAAATTTCACTCAAAAATTTTATTTTTCCTCCATTTCCCAATCACCCTATTTTAAGCCTCATTAATGCTTAAAACCCCAACAGATGGAGTTAGAAAACATGTTGGAATCCAACTCCGAGTTGGATTTGAAAATTTTATAACCTCGAATAAATTGAAAATTTATTCCCTATAACAACATTTCTATATAAAAAATATTCACAATAAAAGCCAAATTCTTTCGGAATCGACTTTTATGTTATGTTATAATATATATCCTTTATAACATCACCTTACTATAGCAGCCAAAAAATATTGGAACAAACGAGGCTGTAATAGGGAGTTTTGACTCTATACACCTAATGACATAATGATATTGATATAGCAAGAAAATAGAACTATATTTCCCGAGAGATATGGAGTCATTGACAACTCAATTTGTAGAATCTAGTAAATATAGAATGAAGTCAGTGACTTTTTATTTTTATTTTTAAAGTCAGTCACTTCAACCCTATGTGCTTCGGAAATAATAGGAAGGGAAGAGAAAATAAATAAGAAATGCAAGTAAAATGAAGAATGGGTAATGGTTTCACAACATTTGCCATTTAAATGTGTCTCTTGGTTTATTGTAGAATTATAAAGTGAGGAAAATAGTACTCTCGCTTTCCATTTCCCAAAAAAGAAAAAACGGAAAAAAAATCACGTGCTTATACTGCTTTGTCTGGACTCTGGAATGAACATGTTCCTTATACTTATTTGGTTTAATTAATGCCAGTAAGAAAAGAGAAAGATAATAAAATGGTTGTAAAGTGGTTCTGGTCCACTAGTTTTGTTATTTATCTCTTCCTCATATTCATAATTTCATATTGTGCATCTTTCCTACTCACATCGCTTCTTGATGTAATTCATTTTGAACAAATTCAAGGACACCACCAATAATGTGATTAAAATTCTACCCATAGGGCATATTCTAGGCTCTCATTTGTTTGCACTTAATGGAGGTCTGAATCTTAATCATTCAGATCTCAGACATTAAGTGCATTTGTTTTTAAAGTCTGAATCTTAATTATTAAGTGTTTTTTTTACTCCACAATCACTTAAAGGGTCTGAATAGGTCTGTATGATTAAGATCTATAACATAGACTTGGGGAGAAATTCAAAAATAGCCAGATTTACAACTGGTCGTTCAAAAATAGTCCAGCTTCAAAAGTAATCGAAATTCAGCCACTTTTTATGTAAAGATAAATCTGAGCGAAAAAATTGTTCAAAACCCGAAAAATATGCCAGTATATTATGCTGGAGTTCCAGCATAAGTATACTTGAACTCCAGCATATTATACTGGAGTTCCAGGATAAGTATGCTGGAACTCCAGCATAATATGATGGAGTTCCAGCATAAGTACACTAGAACTCCAACATAATATACTGGAGTTCCAGCAAGTATACCGGTCCAGCATAATATACTGGAGCTTGGAGCACCGGTGCTCCAGTCTCCAGTATATTATACTGGAGCCAGCAAAGTATACCAGTCCAGCATAATATGCTGGAGTTCATACACAGGTGCACCGAACTCCAGTATATTATGCTGGACCGGTCTCTGTTGCAGCAAAATAGTGGCTATTTTTCATTGACCTAGTAAACGCTGGCTATTTTTGAATGACCAATCCGAAAACTGGCTATACCGTGCTATTTTTACCTTAATTTCATTAAGATGCTATTATATATTTATTATTAACTGCCGCCACCGCCTACCATTATCAACTACCGCCATGCCACCACCACGACCACACTCAACCATCACCGCCACCCCTCACCTCCTCTGCCACCACCACGCCACCATCATCCTTAATCATAGCCTCCATTATCGTCCATCACCACCTACTATCCCCACCACTCCGACCACCATCATTCTCACCCACAATCAACACTTATCCGCCTCAACTACCACAACTGACCATCCCATCACAATCAACAACCACAACCGGCATAGCCCATCAATATAACCTACCACCACCCACCCACCATCTTCCTAATCACAACTACTACCACCACCTGACATTATTAACTATCACCACCCACCACCACCATCCGCAGTCATAATCGCCACCACTACCAATCACTACTAGCTACTAGCATGAACCACCATCATCAATCAAAACTACCACCAACTACCACCTCTAGTCGGCATTCACCCGTTAGCCATCACTACCAACAACTATCATATCTTAAAAAACTATATATTTTATTGATAGAATATTAGATTAGTTAGTATTTTATTTGAATTTTATGTTTATTAATTTTTAAATAAAGATAAATTTTATACATTCATATGTTAAAAATCAAACAGTCTTAATTATTTCTATTCATATCTTAATACACATCTTAATATATTCAGATGTGTATTCATATTCAGATGTCTTAATATTAATACATATCTTGATATTCAGATGTGTATTTAGATTCAAACGTCTTAATCTTAAAAAAAAAAACAAATGAGGCATTAATCCCTTCTTAATGTTCTAAAAGTGTTGCTACATTCAACTTAAGTTCCGTTGGAATAATTTAAGACAATAAATAACTGTTTTTCATTTTAATTTATGTGATGTAGTTTGATTAGTCGCATCTTTATTTTTTTTTTTATTTTTTTTTTTTATAAACTTGTGATCTTAAAATTTTCAAGGACAAAAGCTTTGTGAGATTAATAACATACGTTAGACTAGGGATATTCATAAAAACCCGAAAAACCAAACCATACCGAAAATTAAACCAAACCGACCAAAAAAACCGATACTTTTTGGTTTGGTTTGGTTTTGATTTTGAATTTTAAAAACCGATCAAATTTGGTTTGGTTTTGGTTTTAATCAGAAAAAAACCGAAAAAACCCGAACCAAACCGACTATAGGAGTAGCTATTTCAAATTTATTATTACACCTATATATATGTATATTTTTATATAAAGTTTCAAAAATTTTATGGTAAATGTTAATAGTTTGCACTTTTAGTATGGTTCTTTACCTTTACATTCTAGTTTGATTGGTAGTTTTCTTTTGTTAAATGTAAGAATCCATTTCGTGTTAAAAATAATATATTTTTAGTTGAGTCCTTAAATTATTCATCACTATTTGATTCAATTATCATCAATATATCTTGGTAAATAATAGATTTCTCAAAGGACAATTGATTTGATAGTGTTACGTTGAAAATGTGGTCGCCGAAATATGTGTTTGGTAGTGTATGTCTTATATTTAAGAAAAAACGGACAAATAACCGAAAAACCGAAAAGCTGACAAAATCTGACATAAACCGAATCAAGAAAAAACCGACTTAATTGGTTTGGTTTGGTTCTAATATTTGAAAAACCGACTTACTTGGTTTGGTTTCTATTTAGGAAAAAAACCGATCCAAACCGAACCATGAACACCCCTACGTTGACTATAACTTTTTATTAAGGGTAAACAAATAAAATATAAAGTTTAAAGCTAAAATTATTTTCAAATATAAAAACGTCATTCTTTTGGATCAAACTGATAACTAAAATACATCACAAAAATTAGAACCGATAGTATAAAACGGAAACAACATATAGTCCCCATCTTGTCACATTTTATGCTCATTTCCGAGAAACAAAATGCATACTCCTCCGGTCCACAATAAGTGACCAATTTGCTTTTTTATTTTGGTTCAAAATAAATGTTCATTTATATAATTAAGAAAATTCAATTTGTTTTTTCAAAATGACCCTTATGTACGTATCTCTAAAAAGTCATTTACTCAACACATTTGAGAAGATAAGTAAGTGCTACTATAACTATGATGCAACATTTAATGAAGGGTAGTCTAGTCACACTAACCATTTTCGTCTATAATTTAGCTAGCGTTTGCCCATAGATCCCAAATTTGTTTTGAAAAATCTGATTTGGGTGAAGTTTGGTTTTAAGATGAAAATGTGTTTGGAGCTTGGACATACGTTTTCAAAACATATTTCCCAACTTTATTTTGGAAAAACATGTATATAATTTCCAAGTTTTGGGATTTTGGCCCAAAATCAGCAATTTGGGTGATTTTGGAATTTGGGGTTTGGGATTTGGGATTTTGCCAAAATGTGAGTAAAATTTATGGTCATACATGAGTTTTAAAAATAAATCCCAAATTTATTTTGGCAAAACTCATGGCCAAACAGGGCCTTAGTATTTCCTTAATGAGTGAGCCAAAAAAGATTGGTGGGGAAAGGAGGGAGTACTACACTTTCAAATCCACGTGTCAATATCTAAGTGGCCAACTTCTCACAGCCAAACTAAACAACTCCAACCGTTAGATATACGGGTACAACCTAAGCAAAATACATCGTACTACATCAAAAGAACTCTCATCTGGCAGAAATTTGTAGGACTCTTCCAAGTGGTTATATCACAGGTCCAGACTCCAGAATCTCACAGAGTATTATAGTACGCTGGTCACTTTGATTTTTTCGATATTTTAATAAGTATTAAAAGACCCCATCAAATCAAATACATATATAATATAATTGCAGCACAGATTTAGAGAGAGAAAGCGAAATAGATAGTGTGTAGACGAAGGAGAAGAGAGATCAAATCACATGTGGTGAACAGTAATTGTACAAAGAACATTCTTTTGTTTTTTGGGGTCAGCCATGGATGTTCCACTGCCACTGCAAAGACCATTGAGTTGCAGCAATAGTGTTTCCACTGAAAGAACCCACCTCAACATCAAACCTTTTCTTGGTTTTGTCCCTCGTGGAACCACATGTCTATCCGTACAAGTAACTTTCTCTTCTCACTTTGTATATCATGTGCGCGCGCGCGCGCGTGTGTGCGTGCGTGCGTGTGTGTGTGTGTTCCGTACAAGTGTCTTTCTCCTCACTGAATAAGTATTGTGTGTGTGTGTGTGTCCATTTGCACTAACTTGGGGATACATATATATTGTTGTTACTTTTGCTGTTTTTTAGATTTTGAATACTCCCATGTATTCATACTGTACTATTTCAATATCAATTCTTTCATATATGAAAATTGAATCTCGATTGGCGTTTTTCTTGGATACATATAGTTATTGCTTTAACCGTTCTCATAGAATTTGAGTACACCCATGTGTTTATACTTTCCTATGTTAGTATCAATTCTTTCACATATGGAGTTATTTGTGCTCAAAATTGAATCTTGATTGGGATTTTTCTTAGGTGTTGTAGTTGGGCACTTTGTGGTTACTTATCATGATCAGTATTTGCATATTTGTTGGTTCTTGGTGTATGTTAGTGTTGCTGGTTTCAGTTGATTGATAGTAATTGTTCTTGAGAGTTAGTGTGATAGTGGTATGCTCTAATTTATGGTTTCCACTCCTAAAACAATTTCAATGGGAGAATTTTTGTTGTTAGATCTCTTATATCTGTTGCAATTCATGCAGTCTTCTTCATGGAGGAACGATGGAATGGTTGCTGGAGTTTCATATCCATTTTGTGCAAGTGCGTTCGTTGCTATGATTATTTAGTTGTAAATATTAGTTATTCTTTGGTGCTACGTATTTCTCAAACTAATTGTAAAGATTGTATGCTGTAGATTTCTCCAGAAGAAGACAGAGAAAACTTTCAACTCCTAGGAGTCAAGGCTCTTCACCAAAGGGGTTTGTGCCAAGGACGCCTTCAGGGACGAGCACACAAAAAAGGGATCAGAAGAGCAATGGTGATAAAGAAAGTCAAAGTACTTCATCATCCAAAGAACCGGAAATTTCCAACCCCAAGACGATTGAAGCAAAAGTTGAAACTAGTGATGATGGCACTAAACAAGTGGGAAGGGACCGCAAGTCTCAGGAGGAGGAGGATGAATTCAATGGTGCCACTAAATCAGTAAGTCTATCACCTGTTTGTGGATCAACTCAATTTGTTGGAAGTGGAGAAACTGGTGACGATGACGTGGGTGCTGTAAATTTAAATAAATCAAATAGAACGGAAGAGAGTGATTTTCAAATTGATTTTGTAATAAGAGAACAAAGTGGAGGTGATTACTCCGAAAATACTCAGGGGAAAACTAGCAAGGGCAGCCTCGCTTTGGGTACACCACTTTCTGAGATATTGCAGCTAGATATTCATGGAGGTTATAAAGTTGAACAATACAATCACGATGAGTTGGATGAGACACAAAAACTGAAAGAAAATGATGATGGGAATGTTGAAGATAAAAGACCCTTAGCAAGAGAGCTGTTGGAAATGACTAAGCCTAGCAATGTGGAATTTACTGAAAGCAATGAGATCGCTGACGTAGACAGTAATAGTTTCTTAAAACAAGATTCAGTTGACGAGAGTGAGCCATCAACTGTAGGAACATTAGAGACTGAAGATATTTCTCTGAAGTTAAGATTGGAGATGGAAGCAAATCTACGCAGGCAGGCTATAAAAAGGCTTGCCGAGGAAAATTTAGTGCAAGGAATCAGATTGTTTTGTTTCCCAGAGGTTGTAAAACCCGACGAAGATGTCGAAATATTCCTTAACAGGAGTCTTTCCACTTTGAATAATGAACCTGATCTCTTGATTATGGGAGCTTTTAATGACTGGCGGTGGAGATCTTTTGCTACAACACTAACTGAGACTCATCTCAGTGGAGATTGGTGGTCTTGCAAGATCCATGTTCCGAAGGAAGCATACAAGATTGATTTTGTGTTTTTTAATGGAAAGGATGTCTATGACAACAATGATAATAATGATTTCAGTATAACTGTGGAAGGTGGAATGCAAATTCTTGATTTTGAAAATTTCTTGCTCGAGGAGAAACGGAGAGAACAGGAGAAACTTGCTAAAGAACAAGCTGAAAGAGAAAGACTAGCAGAAGAACAAAGGCGAATAGAAGCAGAGAAAGCTGCACTTGAAGCTGATAGATCACAGGCAAAGGAAGAGGCTGCAAAGAAAAGGGAAGTATTGCAAGCACTGATGGCAAAAGCCTCGAAGACTCGTGATATCATCTGGTATATAGAACCAAGTGTATTTAAATGTGAGGAGAAGGTCAAGTTATACTATGACAAAAGTTCAGGTCCTCTCTCTCATGCCAAGGACTTGTGGATCCATGGAGGATATAACAACTGGAAGGATGGTTTGTCTATCGTTGAAAAGCTTGTTAAATCTGAGAGAATAGATGGTGATTGGTGGTATACAGAGGGTAAGTGGGTGTATACACACATAGATACATATAAATATTTATGCTCTTACTTGCACTTCTTTTAGTCAGTGCTGAGTTTCATATGAATGTGCTTGTTGAAAATCTGGATAGTATGAATTTATCACATGAATGGTCAAGTAACTTATATTCATTATGTATTATAGAAAGAAAATTTATTTTCTTCACATGCATGCAATTCCGTAGTCAAACCTACAATTGGAAGCCATTTGCGGTGGGAACGCCTTTTTCTTTCAATTTACAACAACAACAACATACCCAGTATTTTTGTTTCAATTTCTTTTAGGAAAATGCATAGTCAGCATTTAACTCTAGATAAATTTTATGATTTGGTTTAAACACGTATTTGTTGGAACGAGGCAAGGGTTGATTGCTTCTGTAATAGATTATTTCTCTTTAATATGGGAGTCCTCAGTTCTGTGCTAGTTTTCCTGCATTGAGTGGATTCAACAATATTGCTTCACATAATGTACGTAGATCTAATCCATGAGCGAAACACGATGAATTTTCCTGTGTTTTCAGAGTATGTTTTCGACTATCGGGAATGAACTTGTATTTTTGTACCTTGCCAATGTGACCATTTGCTATGTTTATAGTTTTAACACTACATTACTTTGTAATCCATCTAAAATATGGTGTAGTTACCATGCAACCCTAGGTTGACCACTAGACTGACAACTGACAGCCAATAGTTAATCTTTCACATCAGAAGTTGATACTTGTTATCTTTACAATGTAATAGTTCTTTTCAATTGTTCCCTCATGGTAAAGTGAAGGCAAAGATAATATAAGACCCAACATATGGGTTAGAATAAATTCTGGATATCTGTGATATAAGCTTGAAATGAAATTAGCATCTTATGCAGTTGTAAGAGCATTATGATTTGTAACAAGAAAACTGGGTTACCATGTCCACGGAGCATTTTGATTGTGATCTGTAACAGGTTTCATCTGAAAAATAAGACTCTTGTTTTTGGTTCTTAATGGCTAATTACAAGATTGATCATATCAAATTTTCTTGTGTGATATATGTTTCAACTTTCGGCAATGTGCTTAGTTTTGATAATTGAGGTCACTTTAACCTATTGAGGTCTATACAAGCTTTTCAATGTATTGACCTAACGTGGGTTTACACAATTGCACTTTTGTTGGTCTCTTTCTTTCTTTCAAGTATTAGGCTACACTCATCTGAGGAATGTATTTTTCTGTAGTTGTCATCCCTGATCGGGCACTTGTCTTGGATTGGGTGTTCGCTGATGGTCCACCCAAGCATGCCATTGCATATGATAACAATCATCACCAAGACTTCCATGCCATTGTCCCCAAGCACATTCCAGAGGAATTATATTGGGTTGAGGAAGAACTTCAGATCTTCAAGACACTTCAGGAGGAGAGAAGGCTTAGAGAAGAGGCTATGCGTGCTAAGGTTGGTTGTAATATCCCACTCAAGGTTAAAACCAGTGAAGTGGATTTGATGGGTCAAATTTAGAAATCCTCATTACTGAATTACATTGCTTACCTCTCATGTATGTTTCCATCTATTGTTTCATGATCTCTCACTTCCAGGCTGAAAAAGCAGCACGTATGAAAGCAGAAACAAAGGAAAGGACTATGAAATCATTTTTATTGTCTCAGAAGCACATAGTGTACACTGAGCCTCTTGATGTCCAAGCTGGAAGCAGCGTCACAGTTTACTATAATCCCGCCAATACAGTACTTAATGGTAAACCTGAAATTTGGTTCAGATGTTCATTCAATCGTTGGACTCACCGCCTGGGTTCATTGCCGCCTCAAAAAATGTTGCCTGCTGAAAATGGCACCCATGTCAAAGCAACTGGTTAGTTTTCACGTAATCTGATATCAGTTTACAATCACTACTGACTGTGCTCATCATAGCTTCAAGTAGAAAAATTTCACGCAGGCTTAGCAGTATCTTTAATGTTACAAAGAAATAGAATTTGAGTTGCACTTTTTTGCATATATTTCTCTATTTTACTAAACAAATAAAGTTCTCTCTGTACCTGTTAGCTAGAATGCAAACATGGGATCCAAAACCTTAGTATTCTAAGAAGTAGAGAAAGTAATTTAAGTCTCTGATGCATTGATGCTGAATATATATTGTTTGAACAACTGATGAATGTAAGATATGATTATACATATAAATATATAAATAATATATATCAGTGTTTTGCTGAATAAATACTAGTTTTATCCGTAAAACATGTTCACTCTTCTCTTTCCATCTGGCTACTGGTGTTGCAGTGAAGGTTCCATTGGACGCACATATGATGGATTTTGTATTCTCTGAGAGAGAAGATGGTGGAATTTTTGACAATAGAAGTGGAATGGACTATCACATACCTGTGTTTGGAGGAGTCGCAAAAGAACCTCCGATGCATATTGTTCATATTGCTGTCGAAATGGCACCTATTGCAAAGGTACACTTGGGTGATTCCAACTTTTGGTTTATGCTAAAATATTATACCTTTGTGCTTTAACTGATCCTTCTTCTCTGCAATTCAATATCTGAAGAGAGATAAAGTGCTGATGATAACAAAAGGGGGATTTGGGCTTGTGAGGGAATTTTTTTAGGAGAGCTATGCTGCATCCTTGTTTTGTTGCAAAAGAAGCTTTTGCTTTGATGATAACCAGCTACACTAGATGTTTGGGCAGTTACACCGCAAACAGTTAGTCAAATAAATTCGTTCCATTTTAAAAGAAATGATCCTCTTGTGAGTTGTGACTTTTATGGTTGTTTAGCTTAGAGTCAATGTTTATTGTTTAGTATTTGAAGGAGGGAAAAGTGAGTCTATTGAGAATTGTAAAGTGAATTTGAAAGGATAAACTGGCCTTGTAGTATTACTTTTTGACTTTAAATTTGAAAGACAATGAACAAAGTTTTCCTATTAGGGAAGTGGATATCATTCTCGGGAATGATCACAATCAGAAAAAAGCATCACCTAGTTTAGAAGAGACAGTGGTTTAAGTAATGTTGTAGACATCGGATTTGGAATAAAAGAAGAAAACTCAGATATCGTTGAGGTACTTTGAATATATCCAACACATACCTGTTCATTTACCTATTAAAAGGAGTGATTCTACTCCCTGACTTGGTATTTGGTAATAGCTGTTAAGTTGTCATACGTTGTTTTTGCAGGTGGGAGGCCTTGGTGATGTTGTTACTAGTCTTTCCCGTGCAGTTCAAGATTTAAACCATAATGTGGATATCATCTTACCTAAGTATGACTGTTTGAAGATGAATCAGGTAAGCTTGAATATTCTTCATTACCAAGTCTGCTATTTATTCTTCATTCCACTTCCACTCACTACGTCTGCAACCCAAGAAGGCTTCTCATTGGCACTTACAATAGCTACCTTTTTGCTTCAATATTTTGTTACTAAAAATGAAATGTAGAAGCCTCGGTCCTCCTGTCAACTACTTGTAAATGTGTGGCAGCTATTATCCTCCATTCTTGCAGATCTGGTAAAAGTACAAGTCTAGATGCTTCATGATTCACGAGAATGTTCAAACATGATTGCAATAAACAATGCACCTTACCTTATAAAGAAATAAATAAAAAAATTGCTATAAACCATTTAAGTTTTAAATGTATCAACATACTTTCAGTAATATAATGCCATGTTGCTACGAATTCTTATTAGGTGAAGGACTTTCAGTTTCACAAAAGCTACTTTTGGGGTGGGACTGAAATAAAAGTATGGTTTGGGAAGGTGGAAGGTGTCTCCGTCTACTTTTTGGAGCCTCAAAACGGGTATGCTGATTATGCTTTAACTTATATGCACAGGAGCTACTTATGTGATGTTTTTGTTTAATCAGAAAAAATGGACGAAATTTATAGTCAACTTTTGTAAGGCTGTTTACTAATTGTGAAGTAAAGAGAGAGAGAGAGAGAGAGAGAGAGAGAGAGAGAGAGAGAGAGAGAGAGAGAGAGAGAGAGAGAGAGAGAGAGAGAGCTACTTTTTCTCTGTCTTTCCAGTTTCCACATACAAAGGAAGGAGTTCAATTACAGCTAAGAAAACTAACTGACATTTTTTGTGCGATCATGAACTAACTGAAGTTGTATGTGCTAGATAAATTGTTTATTACTTGACAGCGTTCTATTCTTATGGATCAGTGATGTAGAATTATATTAGAAATTGCACTTAAAAGTATGCAACACATGGACAGGTAACCCTCTAAAAAGGAAAACGGAGAATGGCCCAATGGTACAAAAATAAAAAACCAATACAAGCATGCACCATTTAAAAGAGAAGGATCTGAAGAAAGATCCAAATGATTGAAAGGCATTAAAAAATTGTAGGATCCCAACTGTCTTACCCGTTTTGCTGACTTATTTGTAGAATTTATACACACCACCCACCCCCCAAGAAAAGAAAAAGGGAGACCATTTTTTGGTATTCTTCTTGTATACGGGTGTCGTTTTGCCTAAGCATTTCAATAAAATCTTATTACTTTATTAAAAAATCTGTCTTCTTTCACTATGTGCGTATTTTAGTTGGATGGCCTGGTTAAAATCTTCCTATTCACTTATTTTAAGAAGTTCATCCACAAGTCGGAGGTCTTGTTGTTTTACAAAAAAATTCTATTGAAAGATGTCTTCTCTCCCTCTGTTTCTACTCACTTCGGAATGGAATCAAACTTAAGCTTTTGTCTACGACTTTATCACTTCCTTCTTCCTTTCTTTCTCTTCCTAAAAATTGATGGAAAAGAGAAAAAACTTTGTGACTTGCACCTATTTTCTCCCTTTTCAGAAGATTCCTTAGAGTCTTGTATATGCTAGATATAATTAGGGTAAGAACATGTATATGCTAGACCTAGAACCCTATTAAAATTATGTCATGCAATTCTAATGGTATGTGCAATTCTACCTTTTGCACCTACTACTAGAATATAGCCCTTGCTTCCATCAAGTTAACTCTTTAAAGGATCAGTGTCTATGGCATTGGCATATCTGCGATTCTACCTTTTGGAACCTTTTGAGTCTAAAAAAATATAGCTATTTAGTCCAGCAGAATATGAAATCGCATTCTCAACTATGTGTGCCTGTTAATTTTATTTCTATTTTTTTGATTGAGCATAAGTAAATTAGGCACTTTCGCTGGCTTCATAAGTTTAATGCTTCATCATTACTGTTTTAGGTTATTTTGGAAGGGGTGTGTATATGGTTGTAATAATGATGGTGAAAGATTTGGTTTCTTTTGTCACGCGGCTTTGGAGTTTCTTCTGCAAGGTGGAGTTCATCCGGTATGTTCCAGAATTTATCAATATGCTAATTTAGAGAACTCATATTTTTTTGTTTCTGTACCCATTTTATTGTTTTTTTAAATAAGGCGAGGATTTTATTGAAAGCAGTATCAAGCTGATACTGTGAAAATACAGAGATAGTGCTGGCTTAAAAACACTAAAATCCTAAGCGGTCTAGCATGTCCAGCATATTATGAAAATTCATAACAGCCTTTCCATCTTTCCAGTAGTACAAATAATGCAAACAACTATATTTCACATATTGCAGCTGCTCCTCCTTGCCTTCAAAACACCTATTTTTTCTTTCTTTCTATATCGTCCAAAGCTATGCTAAGAGGATTATCTCTCCAAATCTTCTTTATTGTTCGAAACACCTTGTAAAATTCTTTAGATAGTAAAGCTATAAATAATATCTGAAAGAGGCAAGTTGATTGCAGATATCTATTGGAACCGCCTCAGGTTAGAGCTTTTATGGTAGTGAAAGTTGCAAATTGCCAATATGTGAAGTTGTTGGATTAATTGGGTCTGCAACATGCTTCCTTGGTCCCAAATTAACTTCTTAAGTTTGACTTTTGAGGATAGAATTATGAAATTCGACAACGAAATTATTCATAATATCCTTAGTCTTTTATAACCGAAAAGCCTGATTATTTGATATCATTTCTATCATAGTTTAATAATATCAACTATTAGTTTCCAAAATTTAAGCTTTAAGGTAAATCTGTCTCAAGATGCAGAATTGGACATTTTGCACTCGAATTCAACTTTGGACATCTAAAGTGGGATGGAGTGTGTACTACTTTTCTCTTTCTGTAATTTTCTCCCTATGTCTTACTGTTTGCTACAATAAACAAGAGCTTTGGAGCACCAAAAATAAGAATTTCAATTTTCATGCCGAAGTGATATATTCTTTTGTTGATTAGATTTTATTTGCTCGTGTTCTTACTGTTCACTTGTCCGGCAGGATATCATCCATTGCCATGATTGGTCTAGTGCTCCCGTTGCGTGGCTCTTTAAGGAACAATATACACACTATGGTCTAAGCAAGTCTCGTATTGTCTTCACAATACACAATCTTGAATTTGGTGCAGATCTCATTGGGAAAGCGATGACTTATGCAGACAAAGCTACAACAGTAAGTGCCTCTATTGCCTATACCTTATAGATAGCTGTTTGTGCTTTATGCTGTCGACTCTTGAAAAATGGTGCTATGCATTAACCGACGGCCTCTTTCGATACTTGCTAGGCAAAAGTTTTGGATTTGAATTCCCGAAGACAATGGTCATCATTTTTCAGGCTTCATATTTGTTTTATGTTTGTTTTGCCTTCTCATTTTTCGGAAGAAGATTGTAAAATGCCCTCTAGGAAAAAAGGCATTATTTGCTGCTTTCAGACACTAGTATAACAGGCGAAGACTGCCTAATGGCCTAAAGCTATGGACGCTGTTGGAGATAAAGTAAGAACAGACAAATTCTGAGGAAGCTACACAAGTACATGTTCTTGAAGTATAGACAGAAAAAGTGTTAAGGGCTTCAAGTATACTTCCCTTTTGGCTTTATTAAAAAAATAAAATAAATAACATTCTTTTTTGGTTGTAGCAAAACTGTAAAGGTTTTCAATGAAAGGTAAAACTCTATCCTAACAGGATTTACATGCAGGTATCACCAACTTACTCAAGGGAGGTGTCTGGAAACCCTGTAATTGCACCTCACCTTTACAAGTTCCATGGTATAGTGAACGGGATTGACCCAGATATTTGGGACCCGTTGAACGATAAGTTCATTCCGGTAAGTTGTCTCTGCTTTTCTCAATTATTATATTACCTACAAGTGCACACATTGGAAAAAGTTCATGCTATTTTGTGAATTTCATGTGCTGAACTCCTAGATTTTGTGATAAATTTATTCGAACAACTTGCTAGATTGCCTGCTTTAGTTTGGTGGGGAAAAAGGTTTTTGCCCTTTAATTGCTCTATATCGATAAAACTATCTCAGGAGTGCAATTTAGTTGGATTTAAGTCTCCAAATTCTCTTCTTCCCCCTTTCTTTCTCTGCATATAAACTGTCAACTGCAGTTCTTGAAAATGGCCTCCCTGAAGATGACACCTTAACTGATTATTGGTCAATTGAGGAATGAAAGGATATCTAGTCACAAAAAAGAAGAAGCTTAGTGGTACAGCTTTCTTAACTTTTTTGCTCGCAAGAAAGGTTGTGTACCTCCCAATACTCTACAAACAACTGTTGGAAATGCAGGAAATATTTTATCATGAGCAATAACTATAATTGAATCCGTCGTGTGTACTTGTGGTGGGTGTGGGTCATAAGCTGTGGATCTTTCTTCACTTTCTTAAAGGAGAAGTGGAAGTTTGGGTTGCCAGTGCAAAGACATTTCAGCTTTTGTGGATCTTTACCTCATTTTTTAGTAGCTGATGCCTGAACAAGGAGGCTGCTCCCCTTGATGCCCGGATATTGTCCTATTGTTGTGTGTAAGGCCATATATATGGGTGTGCATTCGATTTATCGATTCGATTTTGACCCTTATTGATAATTACTTATCGATTATCGATTTGTACATATGCTTATCGGTATCGTTTCAATAAGGTTTTGATTTTTTCGATTTCGATTTATCGATTTTGGGGGCTTATCGATTCGGTTATCGATTACACCAATAAGAAAATTTGCGGGATTCCACGGAAAGTATATCGCTATAAACGCGCCTAACTAATATGGACAAAAAGAAGCTAAAATAAGACGAACACCATTTATAATATAAAAATTGTGTCACCAAGCACATGCAACAAAACTAAAGTAAGGGATCAAATGTATGCCACCAACACTCCAACGGTATAAAAAAAAACAAAACAAAACAAAACACATCATCACGGCTAATTCTGTTTTCCATTAATTTGAACTTCATTCCCTTGATCTTTAAATATGATCATTCCTTAAATGTGGTAGAGAAAATAATAGGGTAAGGGACTTAGGGTAAAGGAAAGGGTATAGATTAGGGAAAATAATATTGCATAGCCGCTTTCAAAATAGTAGCGGAATATATATACATTCCGTATGTTATATTAATCTACACAAATAGGTAATTACTCATTTAACAAGTATCTACAGTCTAGGGGTGTGCATATCGATAATTACTTATCGATTATCGATTTGTACATATGCTTATCGTTATCGTTTCAATAAGGTTTCGATTTTTTCGATTTCGATTTCGATAACAAATAATCGATTCGATTTATCGATAAACCGATTCGAATGCACACCCCTAGCCATATAGAGGTGATTTGTAGAATTTTAAGCATGGCCTGTTTGACAAGTATCTTGCTCTAGAGTGGCACGGAGGGAGTATTATATTTGCTTATTCTTTGTAGCTTTAAGTTCTTGGAGTTAAATCATGTGTCATCTTTATTTGTCTGATGGTTGTGGCACTGTTGGAATGCATGCAATTACAGATTTCATACACCTCGGAAAATGTCGTTGAAGGCAAAACAGCAGCCAAGGAAGCTTTGCAGCAAAAACTTGGACTGAAACAGGCCGACCTTCCTTTGGTAGGAATAGTCACCCGCTTAACTCACCAAAAAGGAATCCACCTCATCAAACATGCTATTTGGCGCACCCTGGAACGGAATGGACAGGTATTTTTCTTAAAATACCTAAGTTCTTCAGATGCTCCCCCTTCTTTTGCTTGGGGAAGGGGGGAATGTACTCATCTCAAGCTTTTGGCTTGTCAAAATGTTGTTATATGTTCTGATAATAACTAGTATAATATTTTGTTCTAAATCTTTTTGGGTTTGGATGGTATATCCAATTTGTAGATTGAAACTGATCTAAGATGCCAGAGAATACCACTTCTCGCGTGCTTGTTCTCTCTAGTTTTATTCTGAATGGAGTCTTATTTTTGAAAGTCTGTTATAGCAGGATGCTATGATCTTTCATTGACAAAGAGTTGTGACAGGTGGTCTTGCTTGGTTCTGCTCCTGATCCTAGGATACAAAATGATTTTGTTAATTTGGCAAATCAATTGCACTCCACATATAATGACCGTGCACGGCTCTGTCTAACATACGATGAGCCACTTTCTCACCTGGTATTGTTTTCCTTTCCTTCTTGTTGCATATTTTTATCTTCACACCTTACCCTTATTATATAATCACATTTGATACAATTGCAGATATATGCTGGTGCTGATTTCATTCTAGTCCCTTCAATATTTGAGCCATGTGGACTAACACAACTTACGGCGATGAGATATGGTTCAATTCCAGTTGTGCGTAAAACTGGAGGTACCTTTTTCTTATGAACTGTAGTTTTAGAAATAAGAATATCTTACCATGTGCAGCTTGTTTAGTACCGCTCTGCCACTTGCACTGTATATTTAGATATGAAGGTTTAGCAACTCAATTTTTTCTAGCAAAGGTTCTCTCTCTCTTGACCTTAGCATTCACTTTTTCATGATGTGACCATATTTTTGGAGGCATATATATGAATGACCATTTTTTATTCGGTTAAGCCATAATTAAATTAATAAAGTGTCCCTTTTTTGGCTACTTAAGCTTTAAAGATGAGGTAGCTAACAATTCAACATGGTAGCAACTAGCAAAGTAGAAAGAGGTTTTGGGTTCAATTTTCACTGCCACCCATTATAAAAAGGTATCTCTGCATGCTTGGCCAAAGAAAAAGAATCTGGCTCTCACGTGAGAAAACATTTTAATACAATTCATAATATATTGCTTAATAACATAAGAAAATAATTCCTTATCAAAAAATAAAATAAAAAGACGATAATTAAAAAACAGTTCTTCCTAACACTTTAAGCTTTTAGATGTCGTGGTCACACACCGGAAAATTGCAACTGCAGATGTTCATATATGGTATGTGAGCGACCAATAAACCAACTACTACTGTGTCTGTGTAATGCTACCGATCAGAATTTTCAATTGTAGTTTTTCTCTTTTAGTAGTGAATTCACTTGATGTATATTGGATTCACAGGAGCATATTGCATTCTCTTGAATTAAGTGCGAGAATAAATATTTATCTGCGCATACTTGAATTTCTTTTGATGCCATTGACTTAATTATTATTTTAGCAGATCCCAACTCTTTTGCTTCTGAATGAGTGTTTTAACCTCTGCATTCTGTATATTAGGACTTTATGATACTGTATTTGATGTTGACCATGATAAAGAGAGAGCACAACAGTGTGGTCTTGAACCAAATGGATTCAGCTTTGATGGAGCTGATGCTGCCGGAGTTGATTATGCTCTGAATAGGCAAGTATACTTGCTTTTTTCAATTAAGCCTTTTAGTCTTTTCAATTTTAGAGGGAAAGGGAAGTAAATGTGATGGCATACACAGTAGTAACAACTCTTTAAAGTCCCACACTATTTGCCCCTATTTATTTTTTAACAACACAGACATGCAACTGTTGAGGATCTTTTTCCTCCTGACTTAACATTTCTTCGTTAAAAGATGCGAGGACAGCCTTAACAGAATTCCAGGAACTTGCTGAGATCTTGGAATTTTTTATCAATTCAGTTTTGTTTGAATTCTAATTTGAGGAAAGGGAATACAGAGTTGCTGAAACAGGGAAAGGGATAGCAATCTGGGTAATCTATCTTCAGTTTGAGAATTTCCATTTTCTTATGCTTGCTTACGAGAGAGAGGAAGCAGCTTTTTAACAAGAGAAAGGACCAAAAAAGTTATTCTGATTTTCTTTTGTCCTGAAAATAACCAATTGTTTCCTGTTGAAGTCCCAAGAGGAATATGCTATAAGTAATTCTCCCCATCCTTAGCGTTAGAGAATACACTTTGTCCTTCATATATTGTGTAAGGTTTTCTAGAAGGGTTTATAATGCCCCAGGTCGCTCCACCCTTTGCCTTAAGCTTTTGTGTTGGATGCTCAGATTTTTTCACATGATATCCGAGCCGCACCCATAAATATTCTTGATTTACCTAATATTGCTTTAAGTGTCTATTTGGTAGAGGAAATGAGCTGTTGTTTTCTTATGATCTTGAGCAATCCTCACCTCATGAGCTATCTTTTGCGGTTGAGCAGGCTCAAGGTCCATTTTCTTCACATGCTATCAAGAAAATTTTGGTAAATAGGTTGTACAGCCGCTTAATTTTCTCCTCATGTTCTATTGCTCTGAAAACTCCATCGAGCCACTAATAGTACTTCTGGCTCACTCATTAGTCTGTTGGGCCTGACCAGTACTTTAGGCCCACTTCTGTTGAGCCACCTCTTCAGCCCCCCGCAACTCCCTCCCGAAAAATAAAAAAGGAAATCTTCAGTGCACACGTAAACCCAATAACCAGGTTACACATGTGGGAGGCTATTAGAGAATACACTTGTCCCTCATCAGTTGTGTAGGGTTTCCAAAGAGCATTTATAATGTCCTAGGCTACTCCACCCATTGCCTTTATGTTTTGGGTCGGATGCGTAGAGTCTTTCACACATAGATGCTATGGTTAGATACCTGCTGGGGTGCATCAAGGGCCTCTCTGGATCCCTTCTACTGCATTTCATTTGTTCTACTAAATGTATTTAGGCCTCTCAGTTTTCTCTTGTAAATGCCCTGCGGCCTTCAGCTTTTACTCTCTTCCTCCTCCCAACTGAAGACACTCCACCAAAGCCACCACCCTAGTGCCCCTTCTCAATATTTTTTTTTTGAGAATGGTAACATTATATTCATCGGCCTTAAGGAAAAGCTGGGCACCATATTTACAAAGTAGATTAAGCAAAATAAGAACCTTGTTCCTCTTACAAGGTTACTACAAGGCTTCTAGAAAATCCATTAAAGATTCTCAGTATCTTCTACATATTTTCCTTTACACCAAAAATACAAAGACTGTATACAATTCATCTTAATTGTCTGTATAGAGTTACTATTGTCTTCAAAACACCTTGCATTTCTCTCTGTCCATATAGTCCACCATACACAAGCTGGGATGGAGTTCCACCATTTCTTCTGCCTCCCCCCTTTTTCCAGCATTTTAGAAGCTCAATTGTAGACTCTGGCATGACCCAATTTAGGCCAATCATCTTCCGAAAAAACTGCCAAAGCTGACCAGTCACTTTGCTGTGTAAGAACAAATGGTTATTATTTTCTGCATTCTCCTTACACAAGAAGCATCTTGAGCTTAGCGACATCCAGCTACTTATGCAAGGATCTTCCACCCAATTTATGCTATCTTTGCATCCCTATGGCATATTTAAAGAAAATATTTGAAGCCCGGTCATCGCTGCAATTGTGGATCTTCCACTGCGGACTATTTAGATCATAAGCGTCCCAGAGCTGAACTTCCATCGAAAGAACTGACCAAGGAAAGCTCCTTGACATACATGGTGGAGCCGTCCTGCACTAGCCTTGGCGGTTTACTTCTCATTTTCTTTTGTTGTTTCATCCTTGAGATCATTTGTTATTATAACCTTGTTTATGGGGAGGGATGGGGGAAGTAAGTTTGCTGTGAATTAGTTGCTGGTTATGAAAATAAAACTGCTCAAATGTAGAAATTGGAGAAACAAACATCTGATGAGCATGTTATTTGAAATGACAATAAATAGTGAACTTGGAGCGAATTGCCACTTAGTAACTGCTTAAATGTTGGGAAAGGTGGAGATATTATTTTTCTCTTCACACCATGCCTTTTTTTCCCTATCCCATGCACATGCAAAGACACATGCTTCCTCCCCCTTGTTTTGTTAATATGTAAGGACTCATTTACGGTTATATGTTTCAGAGCTCTGTCTGCTTGGTATGATGGTCGAGATTGGTTCAACTCTTTATGCAAGCAGGTCATGGAACAAGATTGGTCTTGGAACCGACCTGCTCTTGATTATTTGGAGCTTTACCATGCTGCTAGAAAGTTAGAATAGTTAGTTTGCGAGATACTAGCAGAAAGATTCGTGGGATTTTGCAATCTGTACAGGTTCAGTGTTAGTGTTTGGACTACATTTCTTTTCCTATAGCAAAGTATAATGCAAATCTACCCTGAGATCAATAGCAATGCAAATCTACCCTGAGATCAATAGCAGACAATAGTCAGTTAAGTAAATTTTTTGCATATGAAATAGTTTTGCCTCAAATAATGTAGTCTATTGATGCTTATTCATTTTTAGAAGAAATGAGAAATCAAAGGATGCAAAATACTCTCATTGGCTCTTCAAGATTGAACTTTGGATCCTAAATCCATACTACATTACTCAAGCAGGTAGTAAAGTTTTCATGCTCAGGTTTTCGGAGGGTCGGCTTTTTTTCCTCCTTGCTGTTTTGTTCTGGTATTATTTGGTCATTGGAGCGATAAAGAAGCTCTATAATGTCTTTTGCAATTTTCTTGCTTTAAAATATCCACCATATCTATATCCTGATTTTCTTAATAACTTATGAGAGTTTGAAAAGAATTACACCTTGTATTTTTGAAGCCTAAGATCAAAGAGATAATCATCATTTGATGACACCTTGATTTTTATTTGCCCCATTTTCATGTCATTGTTGAATTGATGATGATAGTACAATATGATCATAGTAATTACTGCACCTGGAGTCAAATGTCAAAAAAAGTATTGAAAACCAGGGAGCTAATTGGCTCTCTTTACAAATTATAACAAGTTGGAAGATTTTTCATTAGCTTAAGTGAAGCTTGCTCTAATAACCACTAAACTTGCTTAATTATCTTTGCTGTCACTGAAGCCATTTCTGGGTGCAAATAGCACGGGCTAGTTAGTTTTTGGACTGGTACTTGAAAAATAGCCAGTGTTTGCAACGTCATTGAAAAATAGACACTATTTCGCAGCAACACGGAAAATTCCAGCATAATATACCAGGGATTGGTGCACCTGCGTATGAACTTCTAGCATATTATGGTGGACCAGTATATTATGCTGGAACTCCAGTATATTAAGTTGGAAGTTCACATGTAATAAATTTGAAATCCAGTATATTATGTTGGAATATTTTCCGGATTTTGAACAGTATTTTCGTTCAGATTTATCTTTACATGAATATTGGCTAAATTTTGATTATTTTTGAAATTGTGACTATTTTTCAATTACCACTTATAAATCTAGCTATTTTTGAATTTCACTCCATTTCTGGTTCCCTTCCATTATAAAGAAAGATTTTGTGTCAAGTGGTGGATCAGTGTGACAGGATTGGAATTGGGTTTGCATATTTGATAGAGACAATTAGCATTAGCTTTAGTCCCCACTTTATCTTCATAAGGTAAAATAAAAAAAATAGGTGCATAAAGGTAAAAAGTGCATAATTGTGTGCATTTTTTGTTCACTCAATAAATCCAACTCAAGTACATACGTGAAAGTAAAGTTGTTTTGATTTTGCCCATTCTAGCTCCTTACTAGGATTCCACCAGACTTTTTGCCTACATAAAAAGGTCCAATGAGGAATTTTTTGCTAGCATATGAAAAGATACGTTTATTAAAATGGACTTGAATACATCATAGATTATTTATAAAGTTGATTTTAGCTCGTTTTGGATCGTGGTATGGTTGATACAAGGGCAAACGGGGTAAAGCTTTTAAGACAAGTGTTTATGTAGCTTATAAGTACTTTTTTTTTACTAAACTTTTTTCTATCTCTAATTTCCTTAAAATTCCTGATATATCTTCTCAATATAAAACCTCGAATTCCAACCAAATGATCCCTAATTGCCCTTATTAAGAAGCGCTCATCTTATTAAGTTCTAACGGTTGTACCATTCTGTTCCACCATTTATTTCTGTCCATTGCAACGACTTTTATTGGCAATAATTTATGAATTATTTACTGCCAGATAAATGTGAAACTAAAATACATGTATTAGCTAGTAATACTAGGATGAAAGTATTTAAATATGAAAATTCCTAACATTCGCTATATTATTATTGACCATACATAACAATCCTCACATTATTTTTCACTGGATATAATTTTTTCATTATTCATCGTATAAATAATTTATGCATTATAATCCTCATAACTAATATATCTCCTATGCCCTTAATTGTCTAAATTTCTAATTCAAGCTTTTAAAATTTTAAAATATAAAAACTCTCTTACGTGGTATTTGATCCTAGAATCACTATAAGGATTAGGGTTTTACAAAGGATACCGACAAACCGCACCAACTTGATAATCCGAGTCAAACCAAGAAAAAAAACCCGACTATGGTTTGGTTTAATTTGGTTTGGTGTTGGAAAAAAAAAAAACCCCGACCATAATTGGTTTGGTTTGGTTTTAACTAAAGAAAGTCAAACCGATACCAAACCAACCCGACATTAAATATATAAAATTTTTAGATATATTTAATATATAATATACTTATTGTGATGTAATTTATAAATATTTCTTAAAAATTCATAATTTTATCTTTTAAGGTATTAGCCATTAATATTGGTAAATTAAATAATGCTAACAAAAAAAGCCCAAACCAAAATCAAATCAATACTAATGCTAACAGACATTCAATTCAATACTACGAACGGGAATGCATTGAATATCTATTTTTTGTTTTGCAATAATTTAGATAAAAAATGCATAACCTATTTTTATTTTTTCTTTAGCGTTTAGTCATGTAATTAATACTCCCTTATTAGTCTACTTATTTTAGCATGACTTAGTAATTTTAGATTACGTTTATTTTTATTATTACTTTTTAACTAGCAATATTTATATTACATAATTTTATTGTCTTTATTGTTGAATATTTTAGGATAATGCGATGACAAATCTTATACCACTTATCCTTTATCTCTCCCTTTTTCTTTTATCTTCCATCTTTCTTCCTTTCTTGCTTTCATCTTCTTCTTCTTGCCCTTCCTGAGCCGAGGGTTTATTGAAAACAGCCTCTCTACCTGCATTAGATAGGGGTAAGGTCTGCGTACAGACTACCCTCCCCAGATCCCACCTGTTGGGATCAAACCGGGTTTGTTGTTGTTGTTGTTATTGTTGCCATGACAAATCTCATATTTTGTATTATTTTCTTGAAAAATATTTTATATAGTTGTATCTTACTAGTATTAAAGAAATACTTTGAGAACAAGTTATATGTTTTGTTCTACGAAGATTTCACCGGAAAAAAACTCGTATAATCCGAAAATTCGAGATTGAAAAATCCGAATTTTATTAGTTTGTTTGGTCTTTAGATTTAATAATCCGACACAATTGGTTTGGTTTGGTGATTGTAAAATCCGAACCAACCCGACCTATGTACACCCCTAGCAGAAAGCAAATTAATTAGTAAGCCCTACTCCTTGGATTCATCACGAAACGAACCTAGAAATTAAGCTTCAACTATTAAAATCACAAATTGACAAATACTATCAAAACTGATTCAAATGTAATACCATAGGCCAAAATTACAAAACCCCAATTAATATAGACTATAGTTACAGGTAAAAATAAACCAACAAAAGTAGCAAAAACAGAGGAGAAAACTAACGGTTGAACTACTCGATTAACTTAAATGGATACTAAATTGAGGTTTGAAAGTCGATCATCCAAAACTTCAAAATTTCTCTTTTGAGTTTCCACATGTTGAAGCTGATATATTAAGCTTTCGAAGTGACAAACGACGGAAAATCGAGTGACAAACGANATTTTGAGCACAAGTTATATGTTTTGTTCTACGAAGATTTTACCGGAAAAAACCCCGAAAAAACCCGAATAACCCGAGAAAAATCGAGACTGAAAAACCCGAGTTTTATTGGTTTGGTCTTTAGATTTAATAACCCGACACAATTGGTTTGGTTTGGTAATTGTAAAATCCGAACCAACCCGACCTATGGACTCCCCTAATAAGGATAATGAAAAAGAGAGGAAAAAAACTAAAATATGGTTCTTTTTTAAGTAACCTCATGTGGGCCACCGAGGTAGCATAAAATTGCAAGATTATATATTTGCTTTGCTCTTAGTGGTTGGTAAATTTAAAATCATTTAATTTCGATATCTGCTGATCAGGATAATTTATTTTATACCTTTTCCTTAATTTTATATCTTATCATAGTATTGACATTCCAACAAGAAGCTCTTCTTTCACTTACATGATTAATTATGTCGATTTTTCGGACAAGTGGACGAACTTACGCAAAAAAAGAATTGTTACTGTACTACACGCAGTCCATATTATCTACTACTCCTATCTTCTAAGATATGTCTTTACAAATGATCTTAATGATATTTAATAACTTTAATTATGAAATTATCAGTCAAGATTACCCTTTATTTTTGTTTAAATAACTCATTTTGATTAATACTCTGTTAACTAAAAAAGTAAGGTGGAGTTGGGAAAGAAACTATTTAGTGACTTTTCATTTTTTTAAAATGTTAAATATTTTGAAACAAATTTAATTTGCCAAAATAAATAATATTTGGGATTAAAATGTACTGCCTTTTACTGTAAATTTTACTTTTGCAGATTTGTTAAATATGATCGCAGTTCATGCTCTGCCACTTTATTTTATTTTTTCCTATGACAATACACAGAATTAGAAAGACATCTAATTCTAATCCATATTCATTTATGTTATTTGGGGATGTGGATCTCTCTGCAAGGTGCTAAAAAGTATTACTTCTGTTTTAATTTAGATGACTCACTTTTTGTATTATTATGTTCCAAAAAGAATGACACATTTCTACCATTGGAAATAATTCAGCTTTAAATTCTTCATTTTACCCTTAATGAGCAGCTTTTATAACCACAAATTTTATGGCCCACAAAGCTTTTATCTTTTAAACTTTTAAGACCACAAGTTTAAAAAAAATCTTAAACTCCGTACCGAGTCAAATTACCTTATCTAAATTGAATCGCAAGTAGTATTTTGATCCACGGTTCACTTTTTCATTGGAAAATAAAAAATACTTAATCCTGAAAGATATAATATCGGTAAAGTAATTGGCGAGTCTAATGTGTGTCCAAAAAATACTAACTAACGTTTACTTGTTTGTTACTTCCACCCGTCCATAATAAGTGATCAATTTATTTTTTTATTTTGGTCCAAATTAAGTGTCCATTTATATAATCAAGAAAAATTCAATTTATTTTTTTCAAAATTACCCTTATGTACGTATCCTTAAAAAGTCTTTTGCTCCTCACATTAAATTATGCTGCAACATTGAATTAAGTGTAGTTTAGTTACACTAACTATTTTTGTCTAAAATTT